TTTTTCACTCACATATCTGGAAGATATTTCTATATCAGTACGCATAATTGATCTCATTGTTTAAATAGCTGCAAACCACTCTGCATATGAATGCATCCTCACTGATCTCCCTAGTCTCTTATGGCTAGACATTTAACAATTGTTTGCCATTCAAATCAATCCTGCTGTTATACATAGGCCCTTTTGTACATGTTCAGATATACATTTAGAATACATTTCTTTTTTTTAATATTTATTTTTTAGGTGTAGATGGACACAACATAATGCCTTTATTTTTTTATGTGGTACTGAGGGTCGAAACCAGGTCCCGCCTGTGCTAGGCAAGCGCTCCACCGCTGAGCCACAATCCCAGCCCCTAGAATACATTTCCAGAAGTGAAATTGCTAAGTCAGAGTATTTGAGGCATTTTAAATTCTAATAGTTATTGCCAAATTGCTCTTTATCATGCCTGTGACACTTCACAGTCTCATCAGTGATCTATGAAACCATTTGCTCCCATGTACCCTTACTGTAACAGTGTGTTCCTCACACTTATAATTTATGCCCAACTCTTAGGTCATAATGGGACTTCAATATGGTCTTAATTTACATTTATCTTACTATGAGACAGGTTGAAGTTCTTATGTTTTAAGAACTACTTGCATTTCCTATTCTGAGAACCCTCTGTTCATGACATTTACCTATATTTCCTCTTGGGCTTGTTATTCTTTTTCCTCTTGATTCATATCTGGTAGGATATTTATTTCTACATTTTTTTCCATCTGGACATTTGAATTAAATTGTCTACTTCTTCGCCTATTTTATGTTGCTGTAACAAAATACTGGAGGCCAAGTACTTGAGAGAGAAAAGAGGTTTATTTGTCCTACAGTTTTAGAGGCTGAAAGTCTAAGATTGTGTGGCCCTATCTGCTTGGCCTCTGCTGAGGGCCTTCTGGAATGTGTCATAACATTCTGGAAAAGCAGAAGCGACCAAGCATGGGGTGGCCTTGGTCTATAACAACCCTCTCTCATAAGCACTAACTCGATCCTTGAAGAATGACATTAATTCTTGATGAGAGTGGTCTCCCTATAACTTAATCACCTTCCACTAGACCTAGCTCCCAATATCGCTACTGGGGACCCAGCTTTCCGCACATGAACCCTTAGGGAACAAACCATATTCAAACCATAACAACTTATGTTTAGCAGGCCTTATGGCATAATTTAAGGAAAAATGGACATTTCTATGTCTCTTTCCATCTAAGACATGTCTTTCTCTTTATTCAAAACATAAAGTAAATTTAAACAGGTATATTAAAAATATATATAACTACTTGTGGAGTCCACACTGAAAAGGGGCAAGAACTGAAGAAGATGAATTAAATGGTTCTGCAGTGGACCAGAAAATAGATGATGGAGTGTCCATTGGGTGGGCACTATAGACAGATTTGCAGTCTCCTATAGCCAGAGCCCAGGAGGATGTCCTCATAGATTGAATAGGAAGGAATCCTGTCCAGATTTTCAACTGTGCCACTGGTGATGCTGTACAACAGAAGTCCTAGAAGACGACTTGTTTGGATGGCAAGATCCCAGACCTCAAACCCCAGGGAGTCCGTCCTCACAAGTTCTTGCAGGGGAGATGCCACCAATTGCCACCTTTCTGCTCCCAGCAGCGATGGATCTAAGTGTTAAAAGGGGAGATTTACTCCAATGCCCTTCAGATCCAACTGTGATGCTTACCAGGGCCTCTGCTAGCCCACCTGGTATCTTTGTGTAAATTAGAAGATGGCGCACCTTCTTGAAAGACAAAGGTGCACGGCTTATTGAGAAGTATGTGAGCTGGACTTCAGTTTCTGCTCATTCTCTTGACTGAGTACTCTTGTTCCATGGACAACCTGCATCCCTGTACCTGGGAGCCTATGTACTTACTCATCTTTGGCTTTCGATTGACCCACTCTTATTATGTATTACCTCACTCAGTAAAGCACTCCACAATGGTCCCCATCTTTTGTGTTCTGCTACTCAGCTAGAACTTTGTCTCTATTTCAAGACCTATTATTTGCTGTGGATCTAACTGCTACCTGATCAATTATGCATTCCATCAGTTGACTTACCTCTCCTAAACTCTGAATACAGCATATAGAATAAAATGTAAGTCTTTAAGTTATCTTGGTTACTGCAAATCTAAGAATGAAACTTCTTCTATCCTATCACCCAATTTGAAAGTGGCCTGGTCTATTTGAAAACAGACTACTTAGCTGAATAGAACAAGTTTTAAGTTGCATCTTTAAGACTATTCATTTTAAGTAAACCATTCTGGTTCTAAGTCATCAGTTTAATGCCCAAACTTTAATCCCAACCTCAGGCCTCTGGGTCCAGCTGGTCTGTATTATGCCTCTCCAAAGAGTCTTGAGCTTACTCCATACAGTAAGGGGAGTCAGAATATTATAACAAAGTCTGTGTTCAATTTAACATTCCTTGTTCTTTTCCTGCAGCTTCTCCATGAAACAACATGCTTGAAAATAATTACTAATGCCCATGACTTATGGACCACCCCTACCCCAGGGGTTCTTCCCTCCTTAATCTACTTTTTAGTTATACCTTGGGGACTTTTCAGGAGGCCTACCATTTCCATCAGCCCTTGGCAGAAGCACAGTTATACTGCTTGGTAATTGGTAATTCCCCAAACCAAGACACCACCTGCTAGCTGCCAACAGACCTAAGATGTAGGCAATGAATGTATTCAGGCCCAGCCCAACTATCAATCAGCTGACTCAGTCACTTCTTCCCATATCCACAGGGAACAATAACTGAGGCAAGAAAGCAAGGTCAAAACCTGAAAGAGACACATTGTCTTTATCTGCCCCATTGACAGTTAAGAGCAGTCACTTCACTCCATACACAGGAGGCCAGGTTACTGCCTGGCCTGTTGGTTCTTACTTGCCTTTCCTATTATTCTGCTCAGGGATTCATCAACAACCCCACCCTCCATCTCTCTGCATTCCCCATTGGTACCTCAGGGAAAAGGAAAGAAGCTTGTCTTCATATAATGTATGTGGACCTCTGTCTTAGAGATGGCTCTGGGGGAAAATTGTGGTTTCATTCCACTGTGCTCCACTTGATTTCCAATTATTAAGTAATAACCATAGCTAGAGATGCTTATGGTGTTTTGTACAGAATTTGATCTATTTTCCCGACATGCCCTGCCCTTCATTCCCCTCCTGCATTTTTCTCTTTTGCCTCCTTGGCCTGAAAGTTCTGCCATGATGGCGAAATTTCTGACCAGATAGAATATCAAGCAGGTGCAGTCTCTTGAAGCACCAACAACTTTGGCTCAACAGACTGTAAATGGGTAAGTCAGGTGCATGTGCCACTAATGATCAGTCAATAGCTTACATTTGTTAAAATACAAAAGCACCACAATTAGGCAGCCTCAAAAAATGGCAGCCTTACTTAATTGATGTGATATACTCTATGTAGCTTAGAAAAGTTTTCTTCTTTTAAAAAAAAATTCTTGAGAGTATAAACGTGTTCTCTTTCTTGGTGTCTTTAGCTCAAGAAGTAATTTTGTGAACTTAGTAAATCTGGAAATAAACAATGAAAGCCTGAGAGGTGGTTGCTTCCCTTAGTGGTTTAGCATCCTCAAAGCAGGCCTAATAAATATTCAGCAAGTGACTCGTGGGTCCATCCCCACGTGCATCCTTTGCATATCCATTCCAGCTACTCTTTTACAAGCAGTTTTACTTGATAATTTACAAATGTTCTGGCTGCACTCTGCACCTGCCAGTATCGCAGTAATTAGCTTAGGATGCAAAATGATTTCTAAATCAAGGTTCTGGGCTTGTAAAATCAAGAAAGCTTGATAATCAACATTGTAGCTCTTATAGCCAATGAATAATAAGATAAATAAGTAGGACAATTTGTCCTTTATGTTACATGGTGATAATACCTGACATACAAATTAGATGTCTATACAATACGTAGGTGAATTGTAGGTCAACAGTTGAAGATAGGCAAGAGGGTCGACGCTCAAGTCTTTAAAATTAAATCGCTTTCTCTTGCAGTTATCCATCCACAGCGTGAAGGTTTAGGGGTTGGGCATTTTTAGGGGGCAAAGGATTAGAGTGACATTTTAGCCAGGTAAAATCTCGAACTGGTACTGGCTGATAAAACGTGGGCATCATGCCTTAGAAATAGTGGTGGGTTCAGGAGGATGCAGAAGGAGCCACCTGCCCCAAGTGCGAAGTGGGAGGAGTGTCTGGGAGGGTCGCACCGAGAGCTCCCTTCTGGGACTTGGAGCTCCTCTGGCGCATGCATGGACGGCGCAGAAGTTCGGTCCAGGAAAGAGAGAGAGGGAGGAGCGGGGAGGTGAGAGGAGAGCGGGAAAGCAAACAGGAGTGGGAGGAGGAAGAAGTGGAGAAAAGGAGGCCGGGCGAGAAGGGCGGAAGAAGAGGAGGAGAATAGAGAGGGAGGAGAGCCGGGCGGAGGAAGGGGAGGAAAGGGAGGAAAAGAAAAAGGCAGCGGAGGAGAGCGGACCCGCCCCTCCCCGCTTCCTCCTCTGCTCCAAACTCTGGCCGGCCCTCCCGGGCTGCCACCGCCTCCCGGCTGCACCGAAAACGCCAGGCGCCGAATTCCCGGGCGCCTGGGTCCCGCCCGCCCAGCAGCGCAGCGCTGAGCCCCAGCGGCTGGCCCCGCGCGCGCCCCCGCCAGCTCCGCGGCTCTAGCACGCGCGCCCTCGCACTCGGGGCATGCGCGGTGGGCGGCGCCGCTCCGGGCCGCCTCTGCCGCCGCGAGTAGGAAGCGCGAGCGCCGGGCGCCGGGCTGTCAGTGAGCGTGGGGCCAGCGAGCGAGCCAGCGATCCAGCCAGCGGCTGCGGCTCCCACTCCGGCTCCGCTCCGCGCACCGCCGGCCCGACTCTCCCCGATTGCTGCTGCTGCGCCTCCTCGCAGCGACCTCGGCCACCGGCCCTTGCCTCCCGCCCGGGGTCGCTCGCGGCCCCGCCGCCCCTCCCCCGCCCGCCCCCGCCCACCCCGGCCCTCCCGGGCTGCTGCTCCCCGGCGGAGGCAAGAGGTGGTTGGGGGGGACCATGGCTGACGTTTTCCCGGCCAACGACTCCACGGCGTCTCAGGACGTGGCCAACCGCTTCGCCCGCAAAGGGGCGCTGAGACAGAAGAACGTGCACGAAGTGAAGGACCACAAATTCATCGCCCGCTTCTTCAAGCAGCCCACCTTCTGCAGCCACTGCACCGACTTCATCTGGTAGGTGCACGCGGGGCCGGGCGCACAGACAGGCTCTCGCGGCGCTCGGGGCTGAAGACTAGTCCCTCCCTAGTCCTAGGTCCCGTCGCCCCCGGGACTGGTGCTCGGGCTCCCCCCAAGTCCAGGCGCGTCCACTCCAGGGCTGACTCACTCGGAGAACTTGGAGAGCCGGCGGGAGTCCGAACTCTTGCCTGGAATGACACGCGCGCGCCCGGCCGCCCCAGCCACTGGTACACGCGCGGGCAGCACTCTTCAGGGAAGTCGCTGCTCCGCCACACACCCCGTGTCACAAGAGGGAGGGTGGCCCCGCGCCGTGGTGACTCTCATCCCCACCCCACCCCACCCTCCAGCCGGCTGGGGGCCCCAGCCTCCCCAGGCGCACCCGCCTGCATATGGACAGCGGGAGTAGCGGTTTGCTTGGGTATGAGCAGGGGAGAAAGGCAAATAGAATCCTGAGGGGCCAAGTTTCCCGGAGAAACACGCCCTGGAGTAACGGGGGAGCGGCTGCGATTGCGCTGCGCTCAGTCCAAGTTGCTGGCTAGACCAGCTGGGCGCGTTCAGGGGAGGGTGTTTGTGCTTCCCATCGGACTGTGACTCCACTGGAACCTTGGGTCCCTGCCTACTGTAGGCTCTATCTACTGGGCACGGAGACTTTGACTTTTGAGAGAAAGGGAAGAGTGGCGGGGGGTGGGGGTGGGGGAAGAGAGGCTGCAAACTGTTGAAAGCTTGCAGTGGGGGAGGGGGGCTAAAACAGAGCGGGCGAATGGCAGAAGGGCAGAGGGTCATTTAAAATAGACCCTGTCAACACGAGATTAGACTTGTAACCTGTTGATGAGGACAGAGGGCTTATTTAAGAAAAATACTGTAATGGCTGAAGGTGTCAGGAGTTCGGTGATTTCCAATAAACTCAAGCATTGTGAATTGAGGGGCCCAAGGGCCTGTGGGGAATTGAGAAATTGAAGGGCTTCAGGGATTGCTGGAGACTGCAGTGCCCTCCTTTTTGTGAGAAAATTATAGCTTTCATCTGATTCTCAAAAGGTCGGTGATCACCACCCCCCATTTAGAAAACTGAAACTAAGGGAACTCTAGTTCCCCCAGTTTGAGTAGCAGTGGTTTTTGTTTCCTTCATAGAACACCTCTTTGTGGGGTAGGAAGTTCCTCACCAGTTGGGATTCCTTAGCTCCTTCCTCTCCTGACCAGGGGCTACATGAAGTGACAGTGCAGTAGAGTACTCCTGCCACCAGCCAGCTGTGTGGCATATGTACCTTGGGGTACCAGGGTGACCTTGGGAAGGATGGCTCGTCTGAATCCATCCATCTGGGGAAAAGAATCTCAAAGAGAGTCTCATGAACATGGGCTAATAAAGTGCTTACTTTTCCTTTTCCTTTTTAGAAATCATTCCAAAGTACACTTTTATGAAAAGCACAGCCACCTCTATAAATGACTTCCATTGGGTGGACAGCATTTGCACCAATTGTGCTCAAAGGAGTGGGTAATTGTAGATAAGGCCACTTAAAATGAGGGTTTGGAGCACAGGGCAGAGAGAGGATATTGCATTTGATTAAGGGAGGTCTTCAGCCTCCCTTGTCAGTCATGAGATTCTGTTAAAAGAAGGCAGACTGCTGATTGCTTTTGCTGGGCGTTAAGTTAGAAAAGCAACAGTCAGCATTAGCCAATCTAGCCCTTGTCTTTCCATCAATGCCCGGAGGGATCAGCTGTTGGTGCACTGATGAGGGGCTCAGGTGTACTGTGAGGGGAAAAATTAAGTTCTCGATTTACCCCTTCCCTGAGCATCCTTGCAGCACTTCTGTCACTTGGAAGTTCCAGGAAAATCTTCACCAGGGTTGTCTGCAATAGTTTTAATTTTTTCAGCTTTTTTCCCCCCCTTATTCCTTTTATGGGTTCCTGATTTACAAGTTTTATTTGAACATTAAAACCCTGATATTTTAAAGTTAAATATTTGGATTTAGGTGTGATTTTTGGGAGAGGATGACTCCAAGTTAATTATAAAGGTATATGAAGGGCTTTGTAAATTTAAAATGCTCTGCAATGCAAAAGATCATGGCAACCTTCTAAGAAAATTTTGAAGGTAGTTCATTCTAGTGGAATAATATTTGTAATTGAATGTTCATGTCAGGGATTTCTGCTTACAGACTAAATTTTCTAAAGTCATTTACAAGAACAAAATAGCCTCTATGTGCTTTGAATGTTATTGGTTTGCAATAAAAATTAGATCATGATCATCTGAAATGCAAACAATAGGAATGATATTTCATAAAATGCTGTTTCCTTAAGCCAAAATTAAATGTTAAGAGAGGTGCTATTTGGCAAATTCTAGACAACATTTTAAACAAACTCACAACAAACCACTTTCCAGTTGTCTTAAGGGAGGGGTAAAACTATTTTCAATTGGTCTTTAGGTACAAAATTAAGCCACTTCCTTTCCTTCTAATCATAAGCTCCTTTTTGTTACTTGAATATTTAACCTCAAACTTTGAATATAGTCACATCTTTGTTTTGAAATATAGGTATCACTATCATTGATTAAAAAATTAGAAATACAATATGTTAAAATAGTTCAGTGATCCTTCCTAGGCAAACTAGATTATTTTTCACAGTCGAATTTAACTCAGTAACCAGGTCCTGAGGCATGTTTTTCCTATCAAATCACTAGATTTCATGTACCAACCTTTTAACTCTGTAGGATACTCTGTCACATAACTTGCTTACAGTGTAGTGCCCAATGCAATGTATGCTGAGATATTTGTTCTTGTTTGTTTTTCAGGGGGTTTGGGAAACAAGGCTTCCAGTGCCAAGGTAAGCTGCCGCTTTGGATTTTCTTGTCAAGTGCATCATGAGATGAGCATTCCAAACAGGAACAGTATTTCCAGTCATCGTGTCTTTTTGATCTGAAAGATGTTATTTAGATGATATTTTTGAAATATGAGGGCCATAAATTTGGGCCTTTTTAAAAAAAAAAAATCATGCAGTATTGCCTAGTAATCTGCATAGGGTGCTGCTTTTTTCCTCATTGGGGGGGAAAAAAACCTTTTCCTGTAATTTTATTTTTTGCTAAGAACATTCTTGTCAGAAACTGCTGTCTTTGTGTGGGTGTTAAGAAAAAAATGGAATCACTTTGTATTCATGTGGCATTTCTTTCTCGTTCTTCCTCTTTGTTTTTGTTCTTCTTCTCTTTTTACCTATCCTTTGGATTGGACTGTTTGCAGCTAATTTGGGGCCAGCCATCATTCTAGTAAGGTTTTGTGTAGATTGCCAGTTGCAGCCCTTATTTTAAAATTACATCAATGATTTGAGAAGGGTTGATGGCTGCAGTGTGACTGTGGTGGACTACTTCCTTAGTTGCAATGTCTGACAGCAGACATTTGTATCCAGATGGAAATCTATTAGCTTTCCTTGTGATCTATAGTTGCATTTTTACATACATCAAATATCTTAACTTTTCATTCTCTTCATTCCATTTGCTGAACTTTTAGAAAGCCACTTTGTAGCATGTGAAGGCATCACAGGTTCATTAGCTCACTCTCTGGCCTTCCGTATCCGCTTTATTATGTTTGTTTAGATCTGGTTCCATTTCCCATCTGGGCACAGGTTTATTAGTAGGGCAAGTGGAAAGTACATTTTAGCCTGGAAAATATTATCCTACCACCGTTTAATATTAAGTGCATTAAAAAGAAAGAGAGGCACCATGTGGTCTTTTGGCAACTTTGAAATCATGCTAGTAAGCTGGCTACCTTCTTCAAGTTTGTGTCTTCAGTTTTCTAATACACATATTAGATAGATATTTTATGGCATGATGATTGTTAATATCTCTACCTTTTTTATTTCCAAGAGGTGCTTAAAACCCTTATAGGATAAATAGTTTTGAGAATTGCATTGGAAAAAGATGGTTATTCCTTTCAAAAAGAGATTAAAGAGAAAGATGTGTTGTACCAGTCTCTGGAAGAGATGAAAGGAAGATATCACCCTCTCTAGTTCTCAGAGTTGTTGACCTGAACTCTATAGGTAAAGTTTGGGACTAGGCTGGAACATGATTTTAGGAAAGTATTAAGATGTAAGATTCTGGACTAATGGGATTCACGTCTATTGTTATTTTGGTAATACTTTTGATTTGGTGGGAGTCCATGGAAACTTGTGAGAAAAATATTTACTGAATATTCTCAGATGTTACTTGTCCATGAGAAAGTGGTGGTTATCTTAAAACTACCATCTTGTTAAAAAATAATTCAGAGTAGAGTTGGTTCCTCTTAGACCCTCATCTGAGTATGTTCTGTTGTGAAACCACAGCATGGCCGTATACTTGGCTGTAAGGGGTTCTTGTGGTTTCCTTCAGAAAGCATCCATTGTCCTTTTAGTGGGCCAATCAGTGGATAGTCTCACCTTAGCATAGCTCCCTTTTACCTAAATTAAAGTGACACTAATAAAAGTGTTAAGTTGTAGAAAATAAAAAGTGAAATTGCATTCCTTTCTCTCTTCCTGCTCCCCGTATCATCTGTTTAAGACATCCATTTATTTACTTATTCATATGTAGTTTTTTAAAAAGATTAATATTTTAAGCCAGTCTATAATTTGCTTTTTTCACCCAGTAGTGTATGCTGAATATCCTTCCATGTCAAAATATCAGATCCACCTGTTGTATCTCTGTGTGTCCAATTTGTTCACCCATTCCTCTATTGATGGCTATTTTCATTGTTGCTAAGTTCTTAATTAGTATAAGTACTTCTATGCAGAATATCCTTGGGCACTAGCATAGATATTTCTACAATAGATACCTAGAAGTATATTTGTGTATATTTTAATTTTCATGGGTACTGCAAAGAGGCTCTCCAGAAGGGTTTCAATTTAACATAATGTGCCTGCCCCTTCCTTTCCCTCCTCCTAGTGGAGATACTGGATGATATAAATCTTTTCAATTTTGCTAATCTAATAGGTGAAAAGAAATCTTTTTAATTTCTATCTAGGTTATTCATGATGTTGAACATTTTCCAAATGTGCCTTAGTCATTTGTATTCATTCTGAGAATTGCCTTAATTTACCTAATATTTGAAAATCAGGATTTATAAGCCAGACAAATTAGAGAAGTGACTATGTGCTTCATAAACTGTTCTTTAATTTGGTGAGGGATGCAACCTCAGATTTCTTTAAAGAATTCTCCTAGTAAATGTACAAAGTTTAATTAACAAAACTTTCTCAAGATCAACTTATTTGTAACATCTTACATTTTATTAAGTTTGTATCTTGTTATATTTTTGTGTCTGTTTGTTATATTTTATGAAGTTTGTATCTTATTACATTTTGTTTAGTCTGTATTATCTGTCTTCCTCTAGTGGGCATATGCTAATCTATTATATTTTACTGTTGGCTGTAAATTAAGAAGCATACATTAGCTCAGGACAATGCTCTTGTTCCTACAGATATTGTTATCCATTGTTTCCCATTTTGGCTCTTACCTCAGAACTAATCTTTCTCTCAATATCTACCATACTTAAATTTTCTATTTAATGTGTGTTCTCTCTCTCTCTCTCTCTCTCTCTCTCTCTCTCTCTCTCTCTCTGATAGAATATTGTTATTGTTTAGGAGAAAAACTCCTCTGCATACATCCCTGGCTTAAGGACACACCCCCTAGAAATGGCAGCTGAGGTTTGAGACTTTGTATCCAGGTTTTCTTACATGAAGATACAGTGTTTATTGTAGCTACTAGAATGTACTGCATTGTTTTGGTTAGTAGATAAAATACCTGTAGCAAATATACTTTTTATTTTTTAAACTAGGGAGGTGCATATGCTCCAACTGAGAATCACTCATTCATGTCATAATACAGCTCTAGTTGGAGAATATTTGTCATCATTTTACTTAGTAAATGATAAGAACTGGAAGACTAAAATAATAAATGAGTGTCAGTCCTTAGAACTGGGTTCACCCTCTGCTGTTAAGTAGGCATTATGATTTACAGGCAGGTGAAACACCAAGATTATTTCCCACATCTTCCTTGTCCCAAGACACAGCCTAATTGGAAACAGGAAACTTTTTTGTAGAGACATTTATTGGGTTATTCCCACTTTCCCTTAGTGGAGGCCGTGCCACTCCTATGTATATTGCAGTTTAGGTGAACAACCCTGAAAACTGATACCACCAGCACAAGTAACCCAGGAGGATCTGTGGTGAGAATTTGCTGCCTGAAATGATGACACCGAGGGTCTTCAGTGCTAGAAGAAAGAGAAGTGTGTGATAGATGTAGAAGTCACAAAAATATTTTTTTCAAAGGTCCTTAGAGGTAAAGACAACCTTGTCCTTCTGTAGCTCAGAGGTGACCCTTGCTATGTGACTTGGATTTACCTTTTGATTTTTTTGCTTTGTTGGATCTCCTCACACATTTCATCTTCTGAGACTAACAGAGAGTTGGTGCTTGCCCACATTTTTTTTCCCCCTACCAGAGAAAAGAGAAGAGGGCAGGGCAGTAGGCTTGTGTGGTGCTGGCTTTGATGAACTTGTTTTGTCTAGAGGTCTGTTTCCAGGCACTAGCTTCTGTCCTTCACAGGCAGCTTCCAAACACCGTCATCCAGGAGCAGCATGGTCCACATGGTCTCGTCCTCTGGGGCAGTGGAGCTGAAGAAGTTATCTGCTACTTTCACCACTGGAAAAGGGAATGAGCCAACTCATTTTTTTTTTTTTTCTCCCTCAGAGTTAGCAACACCCAAGCACTTCTCTAATTACAGTGGTAGAAACAGCCTCTGAAAATGTGACCTGCTTATTTGAAGTGCCAAGCAGTTACTTACATAGTTTGTTACATCTGGCTAGCCTCTGCATATTTCCCCTACTTTTTTTTTTTTTTCTATTCTTGCTCTTTTGTTTATAATCATAAGTTAAAGTGAACTGCTAGCTCAGGCTCTTTGATTGAGATACCCCAGAGACACAGGATCAGAAGTAAGTCCTGCCCATAGCCATGATCCTCAGGAGCCTGTGCCTCAGAGTGGTTAACACTGGATCCCAAGAGGTTTGCAGGGAAGGGGCTCACATTTCTGTGCTTTCGCTAATGCCACTTTCAGGCAGTTTTGAATCTTCAGTCATTTTCTTGCTAAGAACACACTGTACATTACACTTCACCTATGACTCTGAGCGAAGCCCTGTGTTTCTCAGTAATTAAAGGCTAAAAACTCGGCTCCTCTTCTTCGCCAATGGCATTTTATTTTGAAGATCTGTTTCAGGGTAGCTCTTCCCTTCAGCTCTCCTGAGCAGGGTCGGGTTTTATATTCCTTCTGGAAAAATGAAAATTGGTATTTTGAGGGAAGAAAAAGAACACGGAGTCTCCTCTTGGCTGTGTGAGCTGAGGGATTCCAGAAAAGGAGACTGACTTAAGGGTGAAAAGGGACATCGAGTTGTCCTCACCTGTCAAGTAGTATGTACATCAGGTGCCAGGATGTAGAAGGGGGCTGGAGTCCAAATTGGCAAAATCATGAGGCTGACCAACTTGAACAGTGTCATTCCCACGTGTTGGATGGGTAACTGGTCCATGTTGGAACAAGGATTGAGGGAGGCACATCTCACATGATAGTGTGGAAACCCAGCCTCATGCTTGTGAACCACAAAAGGACCTGGTCACTTCTCAGTGACCTGACCCCCCCCTGTTTTTCAAAGTCCATGCCAGGATTCTCCATCATCTTTTGCCTTCAAAGCAGAGGTTCGCATCTTGGCAGATTATGTTTGAAAGGTTACCTGCTCCCCAATTAAAAACTATGAGAGGTTAACTAGAGATGAACTCTTGGGGTTAATCACAGTTCCCAAAGGATAGAATACATGGAAGAGGGGTGCAACTTGAAACTCTGGGGGTTTTGCAGCAATGTCAGGTCAAAGCATTTTGTTGGTTCCAAAGGTGAAATTGCCAACGATGTCTAAAATTCAGATAAAAGTGTGCTGGAGGAAGGCAATTACAACTACTTTTCTTAACAGTTTTTCCCCCTCCATAAAAATGCATTAATACTGTTAGAAATAGGGTTGCTTGGATAGAACTCGTGTCAGATATTTCCCATTTGGCCCTGTGTGCTTGTTCTGATTAGTGTCTGAGTTGCTACTCTTACTTGGTAAGTGAAACCCTTTTGTTAATTATCTTACTCACATACACTCCCCCACCAGAAGCTGGTGCTGTGGTCTATGGAGTGGTTATTCATCCTGGTAGGCAGCAGGAACCTCATGTTTACTTTTGCAGGTGACTCTGACATCTTTCCTTTAATTTTATGGTGAGGTGATTTCCTACCTTAAAGAGCATGCCAGTCTCCTAGACAATATTATTCAAGTTTAAGTTTTTAGGCACATTAATTCCAATTTTGCATGTCCCCCTCCACTCCCTTCACACACAGACTGAACTGTTTTCAAAAATACCCATGAATTTCAGATGTACTGGGATGAAGGTCAGCTCCTTAGCTGGACACTTGCAGACTCCTAAAGCCTCCACCCTTGCTTCTTCAGAGGCACCTGAGGATGCTATCCTTCCTTCATCCTCTGGTCCTTGTGAATAATTCTCAATTTTCCAGTCTGTGTTTTCCTTCTTGAGTGCTTTCTGTTGCCCTTTCTGCCAGGTGATACCTGCGTCACCTATGCCTTGGTCTGCAGGTGGACACATCCTGAGCTTCCTGCTATTCTGGATGTTCTTCTCACGGCCCGTCTCCCTCTTTCTGCTTCCTCTCCCTACCCTGAGTGCAAGACTGTTCTTCATACTCCTGGTGTCTCCAGTGTTTAGAGCAGTGCCTGGCGCTCAGTAGACTGTAAATATTTGTTGGGTATGTGAGTGTATAAATATTAGGACAGATAGGTTATGAATGTCCATAACCAGAAAGATTATAGTGACTTCAGCCTAAGCGCTGTTCTTCTTCTTCTTTTTTTTTTTTAAGAGCTAGTTTATAATCCAAAGTTATGTCAACACAGATAGATCTTTAAATGATTTAAGAAAAAGTGATTTCTAAAGAGATGCAGGATGGAGAGCAGAAAATTCTAATTTGTATCGTAAGTTATGTATAATGCTAAACCCTAATAAATTCAATGCAACAGGAGTAAACTTCTTATGTGCCTTATTTCTATCTTTAGAGAATTATAAGGAATAAATATTTTTGCCACAAATAAAACATAAGGATATTATGGGCCATAGCAGGAGGGGGAGAATGTCATGGGTACAGGGTGAAAAATTCAAATCAGTTTTTAGTACATGTGTTCAGAACAGTCCTTGAAATGTTCTGTTTTACTTTGGGAGTGCTAATAGCTAAAACCAGATTGTCATGCTCCAGAGGGAGTAGTAGCTCAACTTCATTGATTCTGTTATTTTTAAGTTGCTTATACCTGAAAGGGTTTTGTTCCTTGATATAAGAAAGAATGGGGGGTGGGGTGGTGGTAGAGGCAGCATCGGTGGAGTAGAATGGTTGTAATTGAATTACAATTGCTTTAAAGGTTTTATTCAATTGGAAGGAAAGCTAGTGTTCATTAAGTGTTATATTTTGCTAGACATTTAGGAGCATTCCCATTTTATATATTTTCATTCCAAAAGTACCTTATAAAACATGGGGTATTAACTGTACCTTAGTGAGCAGAGAGTTGAGAACCTCCCTAGGCTGGCAGGGTGGGGTGGGGCAGCTCGGCACAGATTGTAAGTTTTGCAGAAAACATTCTTCAGAGCCAAGTGGAAACTTTCTTTTTTCTTTTTGGTACTTGTGAGTCTGGATTTATACTAGAAGAGGAAAGAATGATGTCACTAGGGGAAACACTGAAGCATTTCTTGGTGACATAGAATTATTAAGGCTTCACCATCCTCATCTGTCTCTTGGAATTTCCATGACAAACCCTGTCTTTCAGGCCTTGTTTTCCACCAAACTGTGAAACCTCATGTTAGACTTTAACCTAAGTTCATGAACATCAGTATTGGCCCAGTATTAACAGTCAAATCTAGTTGAAATTGCTAAAGTCAGATTAAAAAAAAAATACCTCTATTAAATTATACAAAGGGGAAAATGGTTTCTGGAAATAGATTTTTATCAAGAATGGGATGGAGTGATTTGATTAATTGTCAGCACCTATTGGAATTATTTAAGAGCAAGTTCATAAAGTAAGATTAGCATAGGTCAGTTAATTCTTTGTGCCTTATTGTGTCCCTTACCCCCACCCCAATACCTATACATTTCTATTTTGGGTATTTTGAGAAATACAAGATCCATCTATCTTGTCTGGGGAAACTCTAATAAGAAGTTAGGAAATAACTAATGAGGGTGGAATTATGGGACATGAAAGTATGTTAGCAATTGGTTAAGATCTGCCTTGGACAGATGTGGGTGAGAAACTGGGTAGGAGTGGAGCTAACAGCCAGCTAACAGTCCAGCTAACAGCCGAATTCTGAGAGCAGAATTCTGCTGTGGTGTCAATTATCCTGCTGTAGAAACCATGACTGTTTTTATTTTATTTTTCATGCTACGGATGGAACTCGGGGCCTCACACATACTATGCAAGTGCTCTACCACCGAGCTACACTCCCAGCCCCAGGCGTGACTCATTACTATGGAAATTTACTGTCAATTTAAAAATGAACCTCTCATTTCATTTTCTCTTATGTGACTTTGAAAATTGAATGGTTGTTAATTATAAACAGTTTAGTAGCATGCATGACTGATCTTCATTTTTAGGTCCAAATTCAAGTTTAGGAATAAGGGTGGATGGAAGCATTACCAGTATTTTCTCGTTTGCCTAATTGCACCACCAAGCACCTGCTGGCGGAGCTGTGTTGATGTCTCTATGATGCAAATTAACTTGCTGAATCACATAAAGATTAATTATTGGGCCAGAGCAAGGATAGTTGGTATGCTTAAGAGTTGCCTTGGTGGTCTAAAAGGAATCTAATGAAATGCTGTGGAGCAATAAATAATGAAGAGACTTTGGGATTTTTTAAATTTTCCAGTTAATATGATAATTTGAGGCTTACTACTAATCTTTTCCAGATTTTATTTTTCATTTAAAGTAAACTCTGGAAAAACAAAGTATTCATGATACTGATTTTGATAGCCATCATCTGTGTGCAGGATGCTTTTGGCCAACCTGCCCATTAGTGGAGAATAATTGAAGGTCCAAGTTTCACTTCAAAATTATGAAGTGCATCATTAAACTTGGGCTTTTGCTACATTTCCCACTTCTTACTCTGAGGTCTAAGAGTTGTACTGAGTAAATCAGGATTGTATGTTTAGCTTTTATAATTCACAGATGAACAGTTTGGTAATCCCATGTAAGGACCTTGTTTAAAATATTATATTAGAATGCATGAAGCTTTTGGGTTTGCATTAGATGGGAATTCATAGGCAAGGGAAATGCATCTCCTTGAAATTACGTATTTTTACTTTCATCATTGTCTCTAATTTTAACTCTTACTGTGATTCTTTGAGAACAGGCCACAACCTTCCTTAGTCTATCAATAATTTTACCCTTATATCAGAACTGATTTTGCATCTTTATTACCAAAATATAAACATAGAAATGATTGTTTATTTAATCTGCAAATGTGAGTATTTTTAGTAGCTCCCTAAACAGGACTCAGAGGATGATTAGACATAACTATAGAGTTTATATTTGGTGGCTTTCCTTCAGTAGAATAAGTAACTCCACCCTTTGAATTGGCATTTTTTCTAGACAGTGGTACAGGCGAAATATGAAAGTCAAGCTTTCAGTGTTGTTGATTTGAAGTTCTGATCTTGGAAACATGGATGCAGATAATAAATACACAAAGTATACAAAATGACAGAGCCAGTGATAACAAATTAAACACGAACATGCCTTTTTCAATATTTATTATCTAGCTGAATCCAATCACAACATAAAAGCCTTGTAAACGTTCTTTGGAAAATTTTCCTCTGTATGCTAGATTCCCTAAGTTGCTTTAAAAAATAATCCAAAATGATGGTTCCTTCTTTTTTCTTTGGTAAGTTTCCTTGTAAGTTTATGACAGAGTTCGAACCATGTTCAAAGCTAGAAACTGAGGACAATTCTGAGGGTATTCTGAAGACAGAAATAAATACTGTTGATTTGATGTGTAAGAATAATTTTGAAAATTTCAATGGGACGTAAATGTCAAGGGCAGGCAGTCTCCGTGTGACTTTTTCCTTCTTTGTCTCTTCTATACAGAAGACATATAGGAAATGTATTCTCCTTTGAATACTCCCTTGAAGACACGTAGATATACATGCCTCCCTTGAATAATTGCTTTACTTTTCAAATAATTCAGCTCACTTAAAAAAAAAAAAAAGTCTTGGATGTTTCCAGAGTGGAGGAGATTTGCTGCTGTTCCTTGAACTCCAATTTATGCCAACCACATCTCATCCCCAAGTGTTCGAGGTCCCTGGCTCTCACTGAGCTCTTTCACATCACCACCTTCTTTTTACTTTAGAGAAAAATAGGCTTCTTTTCCTAAAACTGTTTCTTTTAAATTAATTTCCAGACAAAGGGGCAGGGGGAAGGTACAGAGAGTTTCTATATACCTCTCACCCAAACTCTTGTTAACATTTTCAAATCCACAGTGCCCTAATCAAGAACAGGAAATTAATATCAGTACCATATTATTAGCTGGACAACA